AATTACTAAATGGAATTTACTTTTTATTAATTATTTGTATTCGCTGTTTCCAAGGAAGAAGGAATAAAATCTCGGAATTTTTAGAAAATTAACCCTTCGCACCCGAGTGACGCTTCTCGCCAGAGTGTTTTAAAATTAAAATAAGAATTATTATCAGAAAATTAAAATAAATACGGTAAGAACCATTTGTAACCGTTTGTTATTAAAAACTGTACTGAAAAAGCAGACTGGATTTCTGCGTACCGAAACATTCCTCGAATGCAAAGGGTTAATAGAGAAATAATTGAAATTCGACTTACCCATTCATTTGCAAGTTGACCTACTGCGCTGACAATAGGGCCCGGCCAATGCACCGCTGTCGATCACGGCAAGGTCGAAGACCCGAACGAAAATCAGCTGATGGGCCAGCCCGGTCACTGTACCTGCTTCTCACCCCGAAAACACTTCACAGCACGGTCACTAACAATTTTCATTTTCACTTTTCACTTTTGCATACCGATGCGTTCCGTTGCACCCTTCTTCGATTGTTGCTTCTTCCTGGGTTGATAACGGTGCCTGGATGTTGCTCCCTCCTGAATTGTTACTCCTTCCTGAATTGTTGTTCCTTCCTGGATTGTTGCTTCTTCGAACCTTGCTCCCTTCAGGATTATTGTTCCTTTTCGCTGGGATAATGGGCACGATACGTGCGGGCGGCTTTCTTCGCGTTCCCCTTGGACTCCGCGAAAACGAAGAACGTATGATAATACTCTGCGTTTACGCGTTCCATCGCGTGCGTCCGCTTCTGTTCAGAAACGCGTAGGTTCTGTGAAAAATTTTGACTGACAAATTGCATTTCCCTCCCCGAAAAAGTTCCAGGTAAGGCAACCTATTGTCGCGCGATTCGGAATTACCTGCGATCGGCGAACGTGCAGACCATGCTTTTGCCGTGTATCGCACAAAGCCAAACGTCTCTTCGGCTAGTTGACCCTGGCGGAGTTATTTTTTTATTACTGCAAAACTGCCGCAAATGTTTGCTGCTAACCGTGCGTTCGACTCTTCTATTCGAATTTTTATGATTCACCGTGAATATTTTTTCATGGAAAATTTGTTGTAAAAAAGAAAGAAGAATATACCATGAAAAATTCCATGCTTTTAAATTTTAAGAGTATAAAATAAAAAGGTAGTGTTTATAAAAAATAATCCACAAAGAAGGAGGCAGTTACATAATAGATAATATGCGATAATAAAAAATATTGGAGCAACAAAAAACAAAAATATTTAACAAAAATATTAAATAATATTTCTTCTAGTTTTTATTTCTGAAATAAAAATTCCAAGAAGAAATATTTTTTAATATTTTCGTTAAATATTTTTGTTGTACAATTAAATATGTTTTGTGTACAAAAATATTCACGGTGAATCATAAAAATTCGAATAGAAGAGTCGAACGCACGGTTAGCAGCAAACATTTGCGGCAGTTTTGCAGTAATAAAAAAATAACTCCGCCAGAGTCAACTAGCCGAAGAGACGTTTGGCTTTGTGCGATACACGGCAAAAGCATGGTCTGCACGTTCGCCGATCGCAGGTAATTCCGAATCGCGCGACAATAGGTTGCCTTACCTGGAACTTTTTCGGGGAGGGAAATGCAATTTGTCAGTCAAAATTTTTCACAGAACCTACGCGTTTCTGAACAGAAGCGGACGCACGCGATGGAACGCGTAAACGCAGAGTATTATCATACGTTCTTCGTTTTCGCGGAGTCCAAGGGGAACGCGAAGAAAGCCGCCCGCACGTATCGTGCCCATTATCCCAGCGAAAAGGAACAATAATCCTGAAGGGAGCAAGGTTCGAAGAAGCAACAATCCAGGAAGGAACAACAATTCAGGAAGGAGTAACAATTCAGGAGGGAGCAACATCCAGGCACCGTTATCAACCCAGGAAGAAGCAACAATCGAAGAAGGGTGCAACGGAACGCATCGGTATGCAAAAGTGAAAAGTGAAAATGAAAATTGTTAGTGACCGTGCTGTGAAGTGTTTTCGGGGTGAGAAGCAGGTACAGTGACCGGGCTGGCCCATCAGCTGATTTTCGTTCGGGTCTTCGACCTTGCCGTGATCGACAGCGGTGCATTGGCCGGGCCCTATTGTCAGCGCAGTAGGTCAACTTGCAAATGAATGGGTAAGTCGAATTTCAATTATTTCTCTATTAACCCTTTGCATTCGAGGAATGTTTCGGTACGCAGAAATCCAGTCTGCTTTTTCAGTACAGTTTTTAATAACAAACGGTTACAAATGGTTCTTACCGTATTTATTTTAATTTTCTGATAATAATTCTTATTTTAATTTTAAAACACTCTGGCGAGAAGCGTCACTCGGGTGCGAAGGGTTAATTTTCTAAAAATTCCGAGATTTTATTCCTTCTTCCTTGGAAACAGCGAATACAAATAATTAATAAAAAGTAAATTCCATTTAGTAATTTACGTACTAATTACGTAGTAATTCACGAATTAGGTAACAGTTGCAGTGGTAGTATTTTTAATTATTTGTACTCGTTCCTCGATGTATTTTCAACGCGCATCTTGCTACCTACCCGGCGCGGTGGCTCTCCGAGGTCGGACGGCCCTGAGCGCGCGGAAGGCGAGCGCCGTGATTGGTCAGTGTTTTTCGTTAATAATTCAAAAACGAAGCCCCATCCGACATTTTTGCAAAGGAAATTGTTGCTTAGAATTGTCTCACCTACCCCCCATTTCCGTTTCTTACACTATTTACGGGACACCCTGTATATCTACGTCCTTTCTTCGTCCGGGCATTTCAACGGCCCATCGATGCGCGAGCAGTATAAACAAAACACTATCGCCACGTGCTCGAGCCACTGCTGTTTCTCTTGAGTCAGTTGAATTCGGTCGACGAGGACGAACATCAGGAGAAATTTAAAGGTACGTGCCGTAGGTCATTCTGAGACATTTAAATTGAAAAAAAGCTTTCGCGTAGGTATTCTGTAATTTTCTGTTCTTTCGCTTTTCTGCTTTTATATCATGGAAACGGTTGTGAAATCGAAGAATAAGTGTAAGTGCGGGTTTTTATCTTCATGGATAAATGATCATAGATTTAAATCATGGATACGTGCAGTACCCCATGATAGAAGTCGTTTTTATTGTACTTTATGCAATAAGTCTTATTCTTGCGGTTCCTCAAACGTGTATAGACACGGAGAATCTGGGTGTCATAAAAAAAATAGTACTTCTAAAAGGACTTTTATGCCTCAATGGCTTGAGAATGATTATTTCAAGCCATGGTTGCATAAAGTCGACGGCGACCCTTATTCATGGTTCTGTTCGGTTTGCAACAAACAATTTTCATGTCGATTATCGACGATTTATAATCATGCAGATTCTCAGTGTCACATTGAGAATTATAAAAAGAGTAACGATAACGCAGACAATTTGAATAATAACACTGTTCAACACGAATTTTGTTTTTCCGTACCCACTCGGTGATTCTTGTAGAGTGTTCGGTAAACGAAAGCTCGCTCATTCCGCTGGCCAACTCGAGTTGTTTCCGGTCCTTTATGTTGCCAGATGCGGGATCGGTACTACGTTGCAAACGTCTTCGAGTCTCTCGCATCTGGCAAATGTCAATGTAAAAAAATAGCATTTTGGAAAACGAAAGAAACGCGACACTCGAGTTGACCAGCGAAGGGCTATATTGTTCCGCGGGTGGTACGGTCGTCGAGGCCAAATGTAGGCACCGACGACAACGGCCATCGCCGACACGCGGAACAATATAGCCATAAAAACAGACGTAGACCAGACGCAACCCCTTGTTGCGTGGATAATCCGGAGTTCCGTTTCTTCCTCGATAAATTAACGCGGCCGTCGACTTGGGGAGGAAACCTCGGCCACCCTCGCCAGCGTGGCCTGGGACTTTCCTCCACCACCGAGGTGAAGGAGGAGCTTGCTGCCAAACTGGGGCAGGAAAATGGGTCCTCCTCTCCCAAGTCGATGGCCAATCAATCGACTCACGATTCCACAGAGGAATTTGCAAAACACCCCCAAGTGTACCTCTTGGAGGGGATCTAAGCTGAGGAGGAAACGGACTCCGGACACATTGGGCATTCTAGTTTCAGTCGTCAACCGACAAACCAGTTTCAATTCTAGTTTCAGTCGTCAACCGACAAACCAGTTTCGATTCTAGTTTCAGTCGTCAACCGACAAACCAGTTTCAATTCTAGTTTCAGTCGTCAACCGACAAACCAGTTTCAATTCTAGTTTCAGTCGTCAACCGACAAACCAGTTTCAATTCTAGTTTCAGTCGTCAACCGACAAACCAGTTTCAATTCTCGGTTCAGTCGTTAACCGACTAAGTCTAACAAGTCTAACTAACAAGTCTGTAACAGTACAGCAGTTTTACTTGAGTTGAACGCATTTTGATAAAGTAAGCGCGGGGGAAACAGTTCCTCCCACAGTTCAACGCGCTTGAAAACATTCATACAGTCCACTTTGTTATTATTAAAAATAAACCATTTGAAAACTCTCCAACACGACGACATCGCATCACTCCAATCCGACCTACAACAATTCGGGCGCGACCATTGGTCCTTCGAGCCGGATTCTGGATTGAGAGTACACTCGATTGCAAAGAGTGTGATACGGGGACAGTCGCCGTATCGTGTGACCCATCACGTTCGTGAACGAGAGAGGATAACTGCCAGTGTGGCAGTATACCTACGAGGCGACAGGCGCTTCATTCAGCAACCTACGAGGCGACAGACGCTTCATTCAGCTACCAAGGAGGCGACAGGCGCTTCGTGCAGCTACCCAGGAAGCGACAGCCGCTTCATCCAGTGGACCAGGAAGTGACAGACGCTTCTACGAGTCCAGCTCACCAAGGAGCAGTCCAAGGGCACGACAACAGGACCACCGATTCCTGGAGAATTGCAGAGGCCGTCTAAGCGAGTCCTGTGCAGATTCTTGTCTACGTCCGGTGAGTCGAGTTTTCATTTACTTCTCATTTTGCGCTGAACAATGGCCACCCCACGAGAGGATACTTTGAATAAGTTAGTCGAGGAACGCGGTCGCGTTAAATCGTCGCTCACGCGATTTAAGACATGTTTCGAGACGCAGCGAGCAACCACCGGGGCTGCTGCATTGGAGGAACGGTTGCACAGAAATCTCCATTTACTCGATAGATTTGAGTCGATTCAGGATCGCATCGATGCGATCACCGCCGGGACACCGGAAGAACACACGCAAAATCAAATTCGCGAGGCGTTCGAAAACGCGTATTTCGATATCATAGGCGCGGTTCGCGAACATGTTTCGGCTAAGCGTGCTCCGGTTCCGAATCCGAGCTCTACCGCGCAACAGACGTTTCGTGTAGATGCTGCATCACCCACAGCCTCCGTAGCGGCACCCTCGGTTAGATTGCCGTCAGTTCCGTTGCCCAGTTTTCACGGGACGGTCGGAGAATGGGTCTATTTTCGAGACAGCTTCGAATCATTGATAAACCAAAATACCGTGTTAAGCAATATCGAACGGTTTCACTATTTGAGATCAGCAGTAAAGGGAGACGCTGCTCGGGCATTGAAAGCATTACCGATGTCAGATGAAAACTACACGGCCGCGTGGAAGCTCTTGTGCGAGCGTTACGAAGACACAAATGAATTAATCGATTTCCACGTCGGTGCATTGTTCGACTTGCCGACGTTGCCAAAGGACTCACCGGCGAGTCTGAGGCAACTTTTAGACGACTTTAACAACAATTTAAAATCCTTAACCTCGCTGGAGGAACCCGTCGAAAAATGGGACACGATCTTGGTCCATTTATTAGCGACCAAACTCGACCGGAAAACGAGCGAAGCGTGGGATAAACGGGTCGCGGAAATAGGCCGTAAGAAAACGTTGGCAGATTTACAGACATTTCTCGAAAAGCAGTACAAAATCCTAATAAAGTCAGTTCGAGTAATACCTCCGGGTCCGTTCCCTCCGAAAAATAGGAACCCAGGTCAGAAACCGCAACCTCACCCCATGACGCTGGTTAGCATGCAAAGTTTAGAATGCCCATTATGTTCGTCGGATCATCCTCTCACACAATGCAAACGGTTTAAAGCTTTGACTCCGTACGCTCGGTTTATGAAGGTCAAAGAATTCCGTATTTGTTTTAATTGCCTGCGACCAGGTCATGGTTCAAACACCTGCAACAAGGGGAATTGCCACAAATGCAACGGCAACCATCATACGTTGATTCATTTAAAAAATGACTCGACGCCTACCGTAGATCCCGTGGTTGCAAATCCCGTCGTTAGTATAGCAAATGTAGTAAATAATACGCCCCCTCAGAGTTATGCAACTCATGACTCGTCGGGAAAAGAGCATGTTCTTTTATCCACGGCTATTATACATGTCCTCAACGACAAGGGACAAAAATTTGAATGTAGGGCGTTACTCGACCAAGGCTCGCAAGTAAATATCATAAAAGAGTCATTTGCGAAATTTGTCGGCTTGAGTTGTAAACCGACCCAATTAGCGATCTCGGGGGTAGGGGCCGCGGACGCAGGTAAACGCGCTTAGGGTAAGGCTCGCGTTACAATACAATCGCGGCAAAACGGATATTCAACTACGATGTCATGCATACTGATGCAAAAGATCACTTCCGATATTCCCAATTTTAAAATCGCCAAATCAGCATTGAACATCCCTGCAAATGTTAGATTAGCAGATCCATCCTTTGACAAACCGCGTGATGTAGACATGCTAATAGGGAATGGGCATTTGTGGGAGATAATGAGCGTAGGACAGAAACGCCTGGGACAGGGTCTTCCGGTATTGCTCAAATCCCAGTTCGGATGGGTTTTCGGTGGGAAAATTCGGGCGTCGCTCAACGCGGAGTCGCAGTCATGCAATGTAGTCACGAATGATCAATTAAATTCACAATTAACTCGATTTTGGGATATCGAACAAATCCCAACACTCGGTCACCTTCCAGCTCACCCGTGCGAGGAGCATTTTAATGAGACGGTAAAGCGAGACTCCGACGGCCGGTTTATTGTTACGATTCCGTTTAACTCGGACCTGGCAAAGCTCGGCGATTCATATTCCATGGCGGAGCGTAGGTTCTTCGGCTTGGAAAGAAAATTGAACAGGACACCTGTTCTGAAAGCAGAATACGTGTCTTTTATGAGCGAATACCTCGCACTGGGTCATATGACTCAGGTAAGTCGGGACTCTCGAACGCAGGTCGGTCCTGCCTATTACCTGCCACACCATGCGGTGACAAAGGCAGCAAGCACAACGACCAAGATGCGCGTTGTATTTGACGGATCCGCGAAAACCAGTTCCGGATATTCTTTAAATGATACTCAAGAGATCGGTCCTGTTGTTCAGGACGATCTATTTTCCATACTCATTAGATTCAGACAGCATCAGATTATTTTGAGCGCCGACATCGCCAAGATGTATCGGCAGATGTTAGTCGCTCCCGAGCAGCGAGTTTTTCAACGGATTCTATGGCGCGAAGAACCTACGCTCCCATTAGAAACGTACGAATTGAATACGGTTACATACGGCACTGCGTCCGCGCCGTTTTTAGCGACCTGCGTCCTTCGGCAAATTGGATTGGATCAGTCTCATCTAGATCCAGTAATAAGTAATATCATCATCCACGACTTCTACGTGGATGACTTGCTAACGGGCGCGGAAACAGTAGAACAAGCAATAAAAATTAAAGTATCACTTGAGAAAATATTGCAATCTTCAGGCCTACCACTTAGAAAGTGGGCCTCAAATGTTCCGGCAGTGGTTCAAGAGGTTCTAACGGAATCCAGAGATCTGAATTTACAAGCAGAAAAGGACCCAAAGACTCTTGGACTACTGTGGGAACCATGCACCGATGAGTTGCGAGTCAGTGTAGAATCTCAACCAGTCTTACGGACTACGAAAAGAACAATTCTATCCGAAGTATCCAAAATTTTTGATCCGCTTGAGTTAGTGGCGCCTGTCATCATCCAGGCAAAACTAATTATACAGTCGCTATGGCAATTAAAACTCTCATGGGATGAATCCGTACCACAAGCGATTCATTCCGAGTTCCATGATTTTTATGCGGACCTCAGGTTATTAACACGGCTCGCAATTCCTCGGTGCGTATTGTGCCCGAATCCTGTGCAGGTAGAGATGCATGGGTTTTGCGATGCCTCCGAACGGGCATTTGGGGCGTGCATCTACCTGCGCACGATTTCAGAAACGGGCAAAGCATTGACCCAGCTTCTCTGCGCAAAGACACGCGTGGCACCGCTTAAAACAATAAGCCTTCCTCGCTTGGAATTATGTGGTGCATTATTACTAGCGCAACTTGTGAATAAGGTTCGAGTAGCGTCCCGCAGTCAAAAGGTCCAAGAATTCTATTGGACCGATTCAATGATAGCACTAGCGTGGATCAAGGGGTCCCCGAACCGATGGAAAACCTTTGTAGCGAACAGGGTTTCTGAAATTCAAACACTTTCGACGGGACCATGGAACCACGTACTTTCTGGGGACAACCCAGCTGATTTATTGTCGCGGGGAGTCAAGCCTTCCGCTTTGGACAAGCTATCTTTTTGGTGGAACGGTCCATCATGGCTCGCACAGCCATCAACGGAATGGCCAATCACTGGGTCTATCCCAGCAGAAGTTCCTGAAGAAAGGGCCATTTCTTGTATTGTAATAAGGGAAATCGCATCCCAAGTACCGGGGTTCCTATTAAAATTCTCAAACTACACACGTTTGCTCCGTGTGATTGCGTACTGCTTAAAATTCTATCACACAGTAAAACATAGAGTGAGTCTTCGTAACAATCGCACCACTCGCCCGTGGAGCACTCAATTGACGGTGCAGGATCTTGATCTTGCAGAGGTAGTCATCCTCCGATTAGTACAAGGTAATGCATTTACGCAAGAACTGTCTGACTTGCGTAAAAACCAAACAGTGACATCCAATAGCCCGCTGCGGTCATTAAACCCATTTATTGACGACAAGGGGCTCATTAGGGTGGGCGGTAGGCTTGCCAATGCGGAGCTAAAATACTACCAACAACACCAAGTGATTCTACCGAAGAATCACCATGTCACGCGAATGATTATTCGTCGTGCACATGAACGCGTTTTACATGCCGGTTGCGAAACGGTATTATCAATGGTTCGAACGCGGTATTGGCCATTGACGGGACGCAATCTGACCAAGGGGATAATCCGAACCTGCGTTAAATGTAATAGAGCTGCGCCAAATGGTACCAGCTACCTGATGGGGCAGTTGCCTGCACCGAGAATACGAATAAGACCGCCGTTCTTTTCTACCGGTGTCGATTACGCGGGTCCTTTCTACCTGAAAGAAAGGGTCCGTAGCAAGACGACGACTAAAGCCTACCTTTGCGTGTTTATTTGCTTAGCCACAAAGGCCGTCCATTTAGAAGTAGCTTCAGATTTATCGACGGATGCCTTTTTAAATGCGTTGAAACGGTTTGTTGCGCGAAGAGGCCGGTGTCGCGAAATATATTCAGACAACGGCACCAATTTTGTAGGAGCACGCAATGAAATACAGAGAATCAAAGAGTTCTTTGCAGACCAAAAACGAAGGGATACCCTCTCTGAATTTACGGTCACTGAGGGTATGCAGTGGCATTTTATCCCACCATACTCTCCACATTTCGGGGGATTGTGGGAGAGCTGCGTGAAGTCCGCGAAACGGCTTTTGACTCGAGTCGTTGGGGAAACTCGGCTAACATTTGAAGAACTGGCCACTGTTCTGGCGCAGATAGAGGCGTGTTTGAATTCTCGGCCACTATGTCCTGTATCAACCGATCCCACAGACCTGAATCCCCTCACTCCTGGTCACTTCCTCACCGGCAGCCCACTCATGGACCTTCCATATCCTGACGTCACTGACGTCAAACCTACTCGTTTAAGTCGGTTTCAGCTACTCCAAGCAATGTCGCAGCACTTTTGGAAACGGTGGCAGTTGGAATACCTCCATCAGCTGCAACAGCGACATAAATGGAAAATCGCTGTACCAGAAGGATTCGGAGTGGGCACGATGGTCGTCATCAAAGACGCTAGTCTCCCTCCTCTAAGATGGAAACTAGGAAGAATCACGGCTCTACACCCAGGCACTGACCAGATCACCAGAGTCGTTTCCATCCGGACAGCCGATGGAGTCATAAAGCGACCTGTGGCAAAAATTTGCATTTTGCCTACGGAGGATGAAAGTTCATCCCCAAAGGATCAGCCTGGATCGAGTGTTAATCGTGACACAAAAAAAAATGAATCCGCGGCAGCCGAGCCTGCATGTGTATAAACTTTCTCAATGTTAAGTGTAGTAGAATATTTAGATTTACGTTGCAAGATCATCAACCATTGTACCATTTGTAAATAGTAGCTTAGGATGCCTTGCAATCGAATTAGATATAGATATGTGTTAAACTAGTACACTACCACTGTTGTTTGTTCCATGTTTTTGGTATTTATTGATATTTCTTTTGAACGACAGCCGTTCAAGGTGGGCGGCATGTTCGGTAAACGAAAGCTCGCTCATTCCGCTGGCCAACTCGAGTTGTTTCCGGTCCTTTATGTTGCCAGATGCGGGATCGGTACTACGTTGCAAACGTCTTCGAGTCTCTCGCATCTGGCAAATGTCAATGTAAAAGAATAGCATTTTTGGAAAACGAAAGAAACGCGACACTCGAGTTGACCAGCGAAGGGCTATATTGTTCCGCGGGTGGTACGGTCGTCGAGGCCAAATGTAGGCACCGACGACAACGGCCATCGCCGACACGCGGAACAATATAGCCATAAAAACAGACGTAGACCAGACGCAACCCCTTGTTGCGTGGATAATCCGGAGTTCCGTTTCTTCCTCGATAAATTAACGCGGCCGTCGACTTGGGGAGGAAACCTCGGCCACCCTCGCCAGCGTGGCCTGGGACTTTCCTCCACCACCGAGGTGAAGGAGGAGCTTGCTGCCAAACTGGGGCAGGAAAATGGGTCCTCCTCTCCCAAGTCGATGGCCAATCAATCGACTCACGATTCCACAGAGGAATTTGCAAAACACCCCCAAGTGTACCTCTTGGAGGGGATCTAAGCTGAGGAGGAAACGGACTCCGGACACATTGGGCATTCTAGGTTCAGTCGTCAACCGACAAACCAGTTACATTCTAGTTTCAGTCGTCAACCGACAAACCAGTTTCAATTCTAGTTTCAGTCGTCAACCGACAAACCAGTTTCATTCTAGGTTCAGTCGTCAACCGACAAACCAGTTTCATTCTAGTTTCAGTCGTCAACCGACAAACCAGTTTCAATTCTCGGTTCAGTCGTTAACCGACTAAGTCTAACAAGTCTAACTAACAAGTCTGTAACAGTACAGCAGTTTTACTTGAGTTGAACGCATTTTGATAAAGTAAGCGCGGGGGAAACAGTTCCTCCCACAGTTCAACGCGCTTGAAAACATTCATACAGTCCACTTTGTTATTATTAAAAATAAACCATTTGAAAACTCTCCAACACGACGACACCGCATCACTATCACTCCGACTCCGACAAACA